CCACTGGACTATTATTTTATGTTTATTGTACCATTTTTAAAAGGCCTCTCCCAGTACTTTGCTCTTTTACATATAGTAACACTTTCAAAATATGAATCAGTATAATTATAAAAACATTAAAAATGTTAAGTAAGAATAGAACACAAAATAGCAATAAATTTGTTAAATATAGAAGAAGATCAGAGGTGAGTTACTGTAAGACAGTCAACAAGAATGCCATGTGCCCCTTCTTCTATTTTCCCATTGTTCTGAGAACTTATCTATTTAGTGTCTATTATTTATGATGAGTACATTACTAATTAATGTAGCTTTAATGTGGTATGATAATAAAAACTTAAAAAAAATAAAATGTATTATTTGAATTAAATACTTTTTATATTTCCTATTATTAATTCCAATTGAAAATTAGAATGATTTTAATATTTTCATTGCCAACAGACTTGTAAAGTAGTTACATTTCATCTGTAACCAGTATTCAATTTTAGGATTTTTAAAAAAAAGTTTGTAGGCCTAAGTCAGTGAAAATTTTGTTTTTGGTTGGTGTTCCATTAAGTTCCAGCAACTTCCTGGTAAACAGTAATTTTGATGATGTAACTGAATTATTTTCTAAGATTTATGGCAGATGGTATTTAATTCTTTTTCAGATGTTAAATTTTAAGCATTCGTAAAAAATAAAACATATTTAGCATTGCTAATGCAACCAGCAGAAGTGATACATTAAATATCCCATAGCATATTAACAATTGTATGACTCAATAAGATAGAATATTAACCAACTGTTGTACAGTAATACTTATTATTTGAGTAACCTTTAACCTTTCACTTTTTATCTTTTATATTTTTATAAAGTTAATTTCTAAGCAAAATACAAAAATAAATAAATAAATAAAAATAAAATAAATAAAATAACATAATGACCTAAGGATTTTTGTTTTTGTAGGAACTGGATTGTTGAGGTTAATCATTCTAAAAAAGAGTAGCTTTATGTTGAAAATTAAAATGAGAACATGTTTTTCCCCTGCATATAAATTAAATAATATACTCATTCAGTATTATAAATTTAATAGTAAATGTATCGCAAAATCTGCCCTATTACGCCATGTGGTACTACATGTTGGTTAAACCAGGGGTCCCGAGTCTCCCGGAGCTTGTGAGAGTCTCCCGGAGCTTGTGAGAGTCTCCCGGAGCTTTGAGAGTATCCCGGAAATCAGGAAAACTGAAAACAAATATCTCACGGAAATAACTCATCCAGCAAATTCATATTTGCATGTTTTCACTGTGTTATTGTCAATTGTCTCACAGAAGTAAGTACTGATGGGTATCACAGTATGCTGCAAAATAAAATTGAACCTTACAAAAGCTCATTAACCAGATCAGTGTCG